TTCGTTTTCGAATTCTCGTAATCAGATTTCTACGAGACTTGAGAAATTCGCGAATACACTAAAAATTAGTTCCTGGATTTACGGTAATTTCCAAGTTTCTTCAACCGTTGAAATTCAGCAGAAGCTCCTACAGTTAACGCTGTTCGTCGAATAACTCTCTTAACTCTTAATTAAACCATTTAAATGCAAAAGATCCTCGCAATAAATACCTCCATAAAATCTTTAATTGATTCTCAAATTTTTTCCTCGCCGACGATTTATTATACCCCTCTCGGTCGACTTTGTTTTAATCGTCGCATGTCCCGGCGATAATTAAGACAGCCGCGTTAAACGTGAACACACGAATGACCAACGGAAACACGGTCGCGTACAGAGGCATAAGGATTTTCATTTCGCGAATTCACAAATAAACTCGTAAAATGAAAGAAGTCACTCGGATCCTTTGGTTGATCGTTAAGTCAACGACGGGCAAGATCTACTTCTCGCCTGATGAATTATTCATCGACTGATTGATGGTTTTCAATTCAGCCTGATTATCGTACGAGTAGAGTAGCATGATCGCCGGGGACACGAAACGTAGTATCGTCGATTGAGAACCAGATTCGGCCGCTACCTTACCGATAAAAGTCGCAGACGTTTCTGCATCACGTAGGAGATAGCAGCACTCTACTCGTGCTCCCACCTGGCAATTATTAATCCACCTGGCTCTCCTTTTATTACTAGCGACGAATCGTTGAGAGAGGGGCAAAAAAAAAACACAGAAAAAAGAAACGTATATAAGAAGCAGCGAGGGAGCTTGATTGTAAAAGGAGCTCGATCGAAAATGAACGCCACGCCGTCAGCCACGATGATGCTTTCTAATTCCACCGGATCGATATTGTTTTTTCCAGATCGGTAAATATTGACTGTAGGCGGCGGTCTTCAAGATAGAGTCTGAACCGGAAAAACCAGAATGGCGGCGTGATCGTGAAATTCCTTTTAGGATCGTGTTTTACACCGGGGCAAGGACAAAATGATGTTTTTATAGTTCAATTGGAAACGCCAGTAGATTTTATACGGCTCGTTCGATTGCACGATCCTCTATCCGCCCCCTTGGCCCTCGAGCACCAATTTAATCAAGTGTTATTATTCAGAAGCAATTTGCATATTTCATTTGGATAATTCCACGATTAATCGCGGTGTTTTCGCTGGTCTTATTTACGATTATTTCGCCGGGATTCTGTTAACAGCGTTTCACGAAACGGATCATCATTCCAGGCGCGATTACGCGACAGTCATTGGTTTAACGTGTTTGATAAATTTCGCGAATTGCGATGTATGTACATGTGTACGCGTGTGTACACGAAGCGTACGGTGTCTGTTTCGGTATTTCACGATAATTGTAAATTGTTTATTCCTATTATGGAAACAGAATGAATAATTGCACTCTCGCGAACATTTAACTTCGTATTTCACCGCTGTATTCGAACTTCGATTTTCAACTTCGCACGTTGCATTTCATACGTGCCGTTACGCTTCGTTATGCTCACACTTTGCAATTACGTTTCGCACTTCGCACTTTGGAGAGTAAAAAAGTTGGAACGAAAAATTTTGTTGGAAATGAAAATTTGATTTTTGGAATAGAGGAGTTTCGAGCGAAATATGGAATACATGAAATTTCACAACGTTTCAAACAAATCGTTTCGTCACAAAAAAAAACAAATTTGAGGAAGATCGATTTATTTGACTGAAAATATATATATATGCTACGCAATTTCAACGACGAGCGCTATATTTTTCAAATCACATACTTCACTTATCGTCAGAGCTCGAGGTTCTGATTACCGGTATAAATCCGTATGGAGGTGTGCAACCTCTGGTACTATCCTCTCCGCTTCGATTAGACGATCCTTTTCTTCTTCGAACTGGCTTAGGCGAGTTGCTGCATTTTACTATGAACTTCAGTTCGGCCATCATTTCTTCTTTGAAGGAAATCTGCAAGTTTATTCGTGTAAGTTAACATTCGATATCTTTCGACGAGTTATAGGTATTTTGTACTCTTTAACCCTAGTGCGTTCTCCAATTTGGCCATTTGGGTCGAAAAAGACCCAAAGACAAAGGCATGTGTGACAATTTTTTTTTACCAAAATACCGTGTGAACCTGGACAATAAACTTTAAATGTAACGTTAAGGTAACAGTAAAGTTTAAAAAAATAAGAAGGAATTTTTTCAATCGGGTCAAAAATGACCCGAGGACCGCACTACGGTTAATTACGAAATATTACAATCGTTCGATAGCTCTTACGTTTTCACGTAGTGATGTACAGCCAACCTCCCAGACTAATTCGAATATAGTGTAGAAGAAGGACGAGGCAACGCCTACAGTGAGTACTAAAAACACGCCACCCACGTTGTCGAGATCCAGTTCCTCTGCAGCACTTTGACCACCGTCTTCCTACGTATCATTCGCGCGCCGTTATTCAATCGTATCGCTATGGAAAATCTATAAATTCGTGTTTTATAAATGTACGTACTCGACACCTTCCTCCTCCGCGTTTCTGCGTCCACCATTTCTTCTTCAGTTCTGTGATCAAGCCGCTCTGTTGGAGCTTCAACACGGCAGTGTTCAACGCGTGACGGTACGGCGAGACTAAAAGAATTTAATAGAAGAAATAATTATCGGTAATTAGACATTTCTCTTTTGACAAATTTCAAAAATGGCTAAAGAAATGATTGTTCAGTCTTCACGAAGAAATCAGAAAATTTAAAAGAAAAGATATTGCAATCGTATATTTTAAACGATCGATTAGGGTGAAGAACCATCTCCGAAAGAGTTACCAGAAATTGGCTTATTGGATTCTGAAGTTCGCGAAGTTTGGCGATGTTTACCGAAAGTCTCGAGAAATCTCCCAGAAGCTCGAACTTGGTCGACTATTTTCCATAAGTAAAAAAATACCGAAGGATGCCTGTAAAACTTGCATTTTTTCATGGCAATTCCGTAACCCTTCGCGTCGAGAAGTCCACCGATCTGCGTCACGTTGCAGTATCTCTCGGTGATGTATTCTATAGAGCTTGACTCCATTAGAAACGCGTAATCTTCCCGGAGCACCTTCTTCAATCCGGCGTCGTTGTCAGCGGGCAATACTTCTTCGGCGTTCTGCATCATGTACTCGTACATCTCCTTGTACGTGGAGTAGTTGGAATCCTTGGAATGGGCATAATGCTTTGAAAAAACTGAATTAGAATGAACGGCACCAAGTTTCATTTGCCTAATGTTCGTTTTCGTGTTCGACCGGTTAGTAAGCGGTTTCCAAGAGAGAAGAAGAAGAGAGTAAGGTAGTTACACTTTTTAATAAACTACGATGATGATAATCTATGAGGACAGGAGACGACATACGGTATCTAGTTTAATTGGTGGTTATGACAATTTACGTTTCTACAATACGATCTGAATGAAAACTAACGATGAAGGAGGGCGTTTTAATTGAACGTAATTTCAAACAGATTTGTATTATTTACTCAAGCACTGTATGGGAGAAATTGAATAGAAAATATTCGTGATATTACAACGGGGATTTTGTAATCTACTTTCTACGACGATCTAACGAATTAGAGATGGAGATTACGGTGCAAATTGGTGAAGCATTATTTGAGAGACAAAATGATGCTTAACTGCAACTACTAATTATACGTTCGTTATGATACATTCAGAGAGAACAGACACTTTTTTAATCCTTCGAATGATTCGTTAATAAGTAAGAATTCACAGGAACAGTTAATATTTGAAAGTTAAGTAAAGCAACTGTATTAATGTTCTTTCGATTTAGTGAAACTCAGACGATCATACTAGTCAGATATTTAAACGTCTCTTACATTTGTGTAATAAGTACATCGGTAGGCTGTAACGATCCTGTAAAATTCGTCGCTACTGACAACTGTTCCAATCAGTTTTCACGTTCCGTGCGTTATGACAATTATGAAGAATTTGATATAGAACGTTTATTTCGAGACACTTACTTTGAAAAACATCAAGGTGGATCCTCCGGTTTTAGCTCCGTACTTGATGGTCTTCTTCGTTGCTAATTCCTCGACGTTCGAGAAGGGCGACACTAATGTTTCGACAGTCAGGAACGCGGCTAAATTGGCGGTATAGGATGATACCATGATGAGGCAGAAGAACCACCAGGAAGATGCCATCATTCTTGTCGAAAGTCCTCTGTTGAACGCAATCAAATTATGGAAATTTCATATTTGTGATATTAAAGTTAATTATCATTCAAATAATGAATAGGAAAATTAGAATAGGATTAATTTTATGATAATCTTTATCGAATATTAGAATATTAATAATAATTATTATCTATTCCGAGTATGCATTGCTCGATGAAATTTCAAAATTTTTAAAAATTCCACTCACATGGGCGCAATCTCGGAACCTTGCTGCATAATACTGCCGATGGTGAACCACAGAGAATTTTTAAAAGTGAACTGATTTTCGAGCACCTCCGGTTCCTCTATGCAAGGGTAGGGATTGTTCCACTCAGCTGGGCATATCCTGCCGATCATGAAAAGCACCACGGACACGAATATGTAAGCTCCGATCAGGTACCACCATACTCCAGCCGAAAATGGCGACAGAAAGGAGAACAAACTTGGCGGTGTTTTCGTTGGTTTTCTATACAGGATACTTATTCCTGTGAAAGTAAAAGAAAACACATAGAAGATCGTACGTGCAATCATTGGAAGGATCAAAACGACAATTGTCTCCTCCTTAATTAGAATATAAACGACTAATTTAACGTCTTGGCTTAAGTATAATGTAACGAACGTCTGATATAATCGGGGGATTAATAGTTGGGCTCGTATAACTTTATCTGCGTAGTAAAGATTTTAATGAAAGGAAACGACAGTAGTAGAGGAAATATATATTTCATATAGACGAATATGAAATTAGAAGATTACGTTCCCTTCTTCTACGTGTACACACGTCGCTGTGATATCAAAATGGTAGTCATACCTAAATTCATAAAAGGCATCGTAAAATCTACTGCCCCTTCCCGTGTGGATGTTATAGTTAAGTCTGTGATTGCCAGATCAGCTTCCTGCAACACGATTTCACCGGATGTTGTATTTCAAGCCTGAATTTCTTTCTTTCTTTCGTTTTAACCTACGCGGCGCCGCCGCGATGTTAAACGTTACTAACGCCGGCGATTATTTTCCCGAGCATCCCCGTCCACTTTTTCAACTTCTTCGAGTACGATCCGTAGACGTTGTCCCCTTGCACCTCGAACGTGTAATTGAAGCCGAGCATCTTGCTTATCTCCAGAATGATATCGATGCCGAAACCTTCGTAACGATCGTTTCCCGTCATCATGTCCGCTGACTCCTTCAGCATGCCGTAGGGATGATTCTGCAAATGTCACAAGTCAAGTTTACGTTCGACGAATGGTTTAGAAACTTGGAAAATTTGTAATTAAGAGATTACGAATTAAAATACAAATATTCGAGATAAAGGTGAAATTTTAGTATGGGAATTTGGAAAATTTATCCAGAGATAAAATATTTGTTATCCTTTGGAATTTGGTCTCTTGTGAAGGATAATTTTTTCATTTACTATCCTCACGTACGATAGCGATTAAAATGATGAAAGTTTTGTTCTGCAAGCTCAACTCGACGTCAGACTTGGGAGGATGAGATTCCAGTTGCCATTCCACGGTGTTCGTGCTGTTCCACACTCCGATTTTCTTCAGGCCCTCTTCCGCCACCCTTACGATGTCCAACTGAAAATCACTGCGAAAACCAGCTGTATCGAATTTAATCAGACCAGTCAAACCTTCCATTTCGCTCTGAAATCAATCGGTGGTGATTTTAATTAATAATTTCGACTACAGAACGTTTTATCGTTGCAATGAACTCACGAGACGCATGAAATTGTTCAAACTGTAACCGTGCTCCCAGCTAACGGTACCATTACAGGGCAATTGTTTCACGTCACCTTTAATGGCGTCTTTTAAACGTTTGAAAGCTCTGGCGAAAAGTTGCACAGCGTCGTACATGAGCGCAGGTTCGACGCGTAATTGTGAGGGATCGTCCAAACCCCATTCGTTTTTGTGCATTTCCACGATGCTCGTTACAACTGGACTGTCGGGGTCGATTAAACGCACCCCGGTGAAATTCACTCCGGAAAATTGATACGGTTCTAGGTCGATCGTTTGAAGATCCTGTACAAACGAAATTTCCATCGTTTTAATTATCTCGAAACGTACGATTGATTTTCGTACGAGCAAATTGAAGTATTTCATTTGAACGTGTCTATTAAATTACGCGGTGATTAATTTACCAAAGAAGTCACTATAATTTTGTTCTTTTCCGACATAACGCCCACTTGTTGCGCCTGTTTCAATACCTCTTCGAGTAGATCAATCGAGCATTCTATAAGGATATTTTCAATATCCGCGTCTTTTATTTCTCGTATTACTTTTCTGTAAAATTCAACAGTATGTTATATTCGAGTTGAAAGAATCAGAGGATCCTGCAGAGTTATGATAATTTCGTTCAATTTTCTACCTGTAACTTGGACCCTCTCCCAACTGATACAAAAAGATCGCGTGGCCCTTTGCATCCCATCGTTCCAGCAAACGATGAATGCGAATCAGGCTGTCGGTGCCTTCGTATAATATTGCAAAAGACTTCCATTCGAAACCAGTTATGATTTGATCGAAAACCTGGCGGCAAATCAAATATTCCCTCGATTGAATTATTTCGCGAAGGTGTATGCTTAGTAATGGCTACTTTTCTAGGACAAGCACTACAAACTTCGAAAAATTACATTTTCTTTTAAATGAAAAATTTTACGATTCTTCAACTAACGGAATGTTTAACAATAAATTTCTTTATGGACAGCTCTTTAATTTTAAAAAAATATACGATTTTTATAGAATATTTAATATTTGAAATCGAAACTCTGCAGAAAAAGAAATTCATTCTCAATAATTTCCTCAGCGAAGGGAAATACGAAAGTACACTCGTCGGAAATATTTCCAAAAGAGTGAATAATCAAGTGAATAGTCAAGAGTAAGCTCTTAAGCTACGACCTTAGGGTCCCTATAAATTTTTCAACGTAACAGAAAATGGACGAAAGCTCTTCTCGCGTTTTACGTACCAGAGAGAGTGTTTCCGCGTGTGGGAACAAGTTTATCCCTTTGCCACGAGTCTGCGAGGGTTCCCATCTACCATAAATATGCGGCATTTCCATGGTGTCACACATACTCTGCACGTGTTCCGAGGTGACCCTATTTTGAGGCCCGAAAATTGCGGCCACCCCAGTTTCCATCAATTCGCATACTGAATATATCAAAGAACGTCGATTAAATAGAAGGAAACCAGGAAACATATACACGAGAGAATAACCGTACCTTTTTGCGACACGTCGAAAGGATCTGTTCCGACCTCGATCGATTCCGCCACGAGGAACACATTAGCAAATTCCACGTTCTCGTGTCGTTCTTTGTTCACCGATTTTATAGACGTTTCGAAGGTACGCTGAATTCCCCCGTCATCGTCGAACAGTCCTCCTGAAAGAATTACGTGAAGACACGTGTCTCTCTGGACGAGGCGTTCTATTAATACACGCGTGAAGCACGCAAGTTGGACACGGCCGATGGCGAAAGTCGTGTATCATCGACTAGAGAGTATTATAAATTTCGTTAAGCTCGAGGCAAGATTTATACGAGACGTAGAAACCGATCCGTGTCCAGCTCGATGACCGAAACGAATTTATCCTCTCACCTATGTGAACTTTCTTGGGGAATCCCAGAGCGCAGGTGAAGAAGAAGATCAACGGAAGACACTTGACTAGCATCTTACAGTCATTCTGCACTCATAAAGATTAAAGAAGTGTGGAAAGACGATTTCGAACAAACTTCAAACACAATCTTGTTTACCTTGAAAAAGAGAAGTTATAAAAGTGCAAAAGGAAAAAGAAACAGCAAATGAAGAGAGAAGAACAACACACCGGGCAACTTTGTTTTCCGAGGGACAACATCGTACCGGTTCAGAGCAAATTTAGACGATAAACGTTCTCAAGAAAACAGCTGGCCAACTGGATCCATCTGTACAAATGCTCGGCTAGTGGAACCGTGATTAACTTCAAAGACAGCCCCAGTCGAGAACTGAACTGGCGCGAATTTATTTGCAATAAGATCGCGTATACGCGATTCAGAAGCCTGGGCAGACCGCTGGGATTCGAACGAGCACTTAACCACGCGACGTTGTGTAAACCAGTTGGGAAGCATTTACACGCTCGAATTCTCGGGCTGGCGTAAATATTTAGAACCGTCTAAAATCAATCCTCCGATATTGAGTCTGCCTATTTATTTGAAGCTGCCGAAGGAGGCTTCTCGAAACCTGTCACATTTTCACGCTCGATCGCTTTACTTTCTTCCCCTCTGGCTGTTTTTCTTTTCAAACTGATAAAAAGGGTTATTACACCGTCGATACTCTTTCTTCTTTTCTTCGAGCCTCGCAGTCGTAAAGATTCGCAGAGCTCGAGTAGGAGAAACGGCGAATGTAAAAATAGAATCTCGAACGTGGGTTGAAAGTAGAGATCATTAATGAACTGGATTGTGTGTTTGATTAACGAGAAAACTACTGTGTAAAGTCTCGTAAATAACCTCTCTCTCTCTCTTTCCTCTGTTGTCTGCTTTTTATCCAGTTTCCAAACAGCAACATGTTAAGCGAATTAGGAGCATAAATCTTTGAACTTCTTAAAGGCGCAAGAATAACCTAAAACGAGGAGAGGATCTTCATCTAATTAAAGAGATTCCTAATTTACAAAGTACCGGGCAAATTTCTCCGATAGACTATTAACGAAGCTTCAAAGATGAGGTGTATATAATAACCGTAAAATCGAACCCTTGGAATGCTCTCAGCTTCGACGTGAAAATGTTTCGACTAAAAGTACAGGTCCTCCGTCAAACGAGGATCACAGTTTTCCATTTATCGTACCTTGGATCATACACGATATCGTCTTTCATCAAAGTATAATTGCGTTCAGTTAGCCTGGCAGTTGCTCTGTTTGACGGAAAGCTTTTATCCGGTGGAAACCGTTGCTCCGCGTTCGAAATTTGCACATCATCGACAAAAATGGGGACACGCGACGTCAGTCGGCATCGCGACGCGGGATAATTTTAGCGGGAACGATTTTTGCGCCACGGCGTGTTTTCCCCGTCACCGAAACGTCGCGACGCCAAGCGACGCGTCGTCCTCGCGGACGCCACGCGATTTTAGCCGCGCGCATTCAGAGCGTCGCGTCGCGCGATTGTCACCTTGCCAAACGCACGCTGTCTGGCGTGTTCTTTTTCATTCATTGATCCGCCGCGGTCGTTACGCGTCGCGTATCGGCACAGGTGATACGGGCCCACGAAAAATCGCGCGACGTCTGCCATATTCAGGCGGGTCCGAATCGCACGGAAAACACACGAAAATCTTGGAGTGCTCGTCACCGACGCCCGTTATATTTAGACCGTCGCTGCCACTAGCTTGTCGCTTAACCTCTGTGACATAGTTTTCGTCGAATTGCAATCGACCATGCTCTTCTTTGCGACGGAATCGTTCGGCTGTCGTTCACGGATTTCTCAGCAGTGTCGTTCCGCGTGTTTCTCGTTCCGCGAATACTATCGTCGCTGTTAAAATAACCGCTCCAGAGAACTTCTAGAAATCTTGGATTCTCGAGAGAGCTTCTCTCTCTACGCATCCTCGAACACTCTTCTCTTCTCGTAGTTAATCGAAGAAACTTGTACAGAATCGAAATGATACTCTACGAAGCTGTTAGCTAGGCGAGTTCAGCGATGGTTGACGCGCGGCACGGGAAGAAGGCAATTAAAAAATTGTCGAATCGAAGGCAACGAGAAGGAAAACTGGTTACGCGGTGTGCTCGTTTCATGCTCGAACGAAAGTTTAGAGCGCAAGCGGCCGTAGGTTAAACGTGGATAGGACAAAGCGGCCGTCCATGCGACGAGCGTAAAAGGAAGAGGGAACTTACCTAAAATTACGATTACAACCACGGCTCGTTACCTGGAACAGAAGTTTGATAAACGTGCTTTTCAGAACGAACCTCGCGGCTTCCACTCTAATTCCGAACGCCGCTTCACGAGTGCCTTTTCACTGCGCACACGCGGCCGGCCCTCCCTTCCCAACCCACTTGGATTCGTTTTGTGCCGTCGTAACATGGCGGGCATCTACCTAGAACTTAACTTTATTGTTAGACACGACCACGCTGCTTGCCTGCCACTCTTTCAACCTCGCGTCTCCACTCTCTTAGAAAATGTCGCCGCTCCATTTCTTATTTCGAGAAAGATTCACCTCTCCCGCTCTACTCGCGTTTGTCCCCTCTTCTGTTCGCGATGGAAGACACACGAGGAACCGCTGAAGAATTTCACGGTCGTTATCTTGCGAAACGCAAACAGCGTTTTACGGAGGAAATTTGTCACGTTTAGCGGTGGAAAGTTTGCGGGATCGGGAGGCGTGCTCGCGCGATGAAAATAAGCGGTGTCGCGTGATCCTTGATTACGAGTGAACTCCTGGGAATGTGGGATTTCATTCGGAGAAACTGTGTATCCTGTACTTTATTCCAGAAAGTTCGAGAATACTTCCATTTTTTCTTTTCTACATTTTTAAGAAATTTTCTCGGTGCGTGTGTGTTTTTAACAGTAATTGTCGGAGAAAGGATCGATTTTACTGGAGAATGTGTGCAGTCGTTTAGTTTCATCAAGTCGATCGTTATCGTATATTACCTCGTTATCTTTCCCCCGGTATTTTTCACGTTGAAAGGTTCATCGAAGAACCGGCGTTAAAAATTTTTAATTTTGGAGAAAGGTTGCTCTACTTACGCGTGATTACCTTTCCGTAACGTTAAAATCGCATTAGCGATACCCTTTCCCGCGGAGGCGGACCCTTGAGTGCAAAAGTTACAGGAATTTCACGGATACGACGACAGGGTAGTCAACAGCGTGCTGCGAACTGTAGTTAAATTCACCGTAAAAACGTGATACGTGACGTGAACACGATGGTAGAGTCAGGCAAAACGGCTGTTACTTTTGATAGTGTGTTCACCTTCTTTCTTGGAAAACTGTCCTTTTCAGGCGCAGCTACAGTTTCCTTTTTCCTTTTACAGCCTTCTTTTCGAGAATCGTTCGTATCATATCTGTGTTACAGCGGGAGATTCAAAGTCGTACATCGATACTTTCGTACGGCAAATCCTCTGGCATGTTTTATACGAGCAAGTTGATCGCCCAACTTCTATCCGAAAGAGTCGTGCGACGAAATAAAGAGGATTTTCAACGGTGAAACTTCTCATCTTACGCAAAAGTATCCGTTGGATTTTTATTTCAAAAGAATTTCCCAAACTCTACCTCGCTTTATCCCTCGCCAATGGACATTTTATACTCTGAATCGGTGTTCTATCAAATTTCGAACACTTGGTTGTTCGATTCACTGTCGTATTAAAAAAAAGCACACACTATATCTATTTTCTCCTTTATTGAAAATTATTCTAACACGTGGCTTGTCTAATTTTCTTCTCCACTTCACCAGTTCACGGTATGCCCGATTCGAGAGGCTTGTTTCACAGAAACAAGCATCTTTCCAAATTTATGCAACGATTCGCCTGAAAACAAGCGTTCCGGCGAAACGCGGGATGAAAGATCAAGATATGTAGATGAACCAGCAGAGATAAGAAGACATAAGGATGGGAGGGGAAAGAGCGGAAAGCACGAGGGGGAGAGAGAGAGAGAGAGAGAAAGAGGGAGCAAAGTAAATTAAATAGGTACGTTAGCGTCCTGGGGGCAAAGGGAAGGTAAGAGCCGTGGAAGTTGGATACATTAGTGAATTAGTTACGTTAGCGGTTTGGGATTTAGTTCTCTAATCAAGAGAACGAAGAGTGAAGGCTGCGGCAATTGATGTAAAAGTAGAACTTCCCGGGGACCAATTACGCGGCCGTGGTTAAGGCAGAACTTCTCTGTCGTAATCAACGAGGGGATTATGGCGTGGGTTAAGTATATTACGCGTTGGAATAATTTTCTGGCTGAAACGGAAGAACCTGACACCTCTGGCAATCGATCATACGATACACAAGGTTGAGAAGGCTTTTCGAGAAACGGCACGATGGAGATTGGATTGTAATTGAATCGTCGATGACGCGATGAAATCGTTCGTGTTGAAAAAACGTGGCTTTTAATTAGGTTTTTTTTTTCAATCAGTGTTAACTCCTTTTAAGTATTTTTTTCATTTTTTTTTTTACTTGAAATTTAATTAATTGCGTGATACGTGAATTATTAAGCTTAACGAGATTAAAATACGTCTGTCATTTTACTAGATTTTTCAGGACTTTAATATTGTTTATTTTGAATTGTTGAATAGGTGTGAAAGAAAAGCGTATTGAAATTTGAAGTTACGAAGCTGGATAGGTGGTAATGTGAAACGTGAGTAATTGGTGGATGTGATGTTTTCAAATTCAATGGAAATCCTCCTTCGATCCTTTCCACATTCCTCCAAGTAAAAACGAAACACGTCCAGTGAGAATTTACAGACGATGAGTTTATTCACGTTTAATATGATGCTCGTAGTACACTTTATGTAAGAAGTATAATCAATAGGCTCTTAACAAACTCGTTACGACGTGAACGCAGTGTACGCAATACAGACAATATTTACAAGTACGTGTATAATACGCGGTTCATTTATGTATGTACACTGCCGTTTGTAAGTGTTGGGACGCTGAAAGTATTATTCTCCGTTACATTTCTTCGCCAAAATTAATATCATGTACCAGTAAAAGTACGAGGTTTGACAGATAAAAGGTGAAAAGAGAAGACTTGAAATACTATAAAAGTAGAACCAAATTAGGGGAATAAAAAATCTAGAAAATTTCTCAATTTCACAGTAATTGGATCAAGCACAGATTAATAAATTTTTAAAAAAATAAGAAAAACACTTGAGCACTTAAAAAGTGGAACCAAATTTGAGGAATAAAAGAAATTGAAAAATTGCACAATTCCAGAATAAATGGGAACATTAACACAGATAAACAGAAGCCTAAAAAATAAAAAGAGAATCTTGTAGTCTTAATCCGAGTATTTAAGAATCTAGAGAAACTTGTAACGACTATTCAGCTTTCCTTCACATTCAGTGTCTCGATACTTGTGAACGGGAGTGTACGTATGAATGTGTCATTCATGCGGGTCTCTCGCAATTTGTACGTTTATTACGATTCGATTCGGTGTGTACACACATCGGCGGATGAACGAGTCGATAGTGAAAGAAGAAAAAAGAAAAGAAAAAGGACAGGTAATCCTTAAAGTCGACGTTTCGTACACGGTCTCTCAAAAGTCGCGTAACGACGATGATCACAGGGACATTATCGAGTATCGAACATTCGAATCTCGACGTTAATATCATTCCACTGATCTATCTGCGTCCAAGAAGAAATCTCGATCGCTCGAGGGAAAGGGATAGAAGCTTGCCGAGCATCTGTGCACGTACGATATTCGCGAGTGTTTACACCTTGGAAGTGAAGGAAGACGGAAATTAATACTGCTCAGTTCGTGGCGTTCGTGAACGGCGACGTACCAGCTGCAAACAGGCTTTCCATTAACTCTGTTAACCGGCTTAATCCTTTGAACCGTTGGATGCTTAAGAAGGAAACATTGCTACGTTGCGACCAGCGAGTGAAATCTGTTTCGACGTGGAGATGGTTTAATTGAGTTTTCAAGTGAGAAGATTTTACGTGTATAAGTACACAGTTAAAATATAAAATATCACTTTAAATTAACGTTGAACTCTTAAGAAGATATCGGTACAACAAAGTATACAAACAAAGATCGCAAGGTTTTCATATCGAAACATTTTATTCCAACATTATCACACGACGATAACTTGCTTCGAAACGAAGCAGAAATTTTGAACGGACAAACGAGAACGTTGTAAATTTCGATGAAATCTGCAGTCACGCACAGATAGATCAATGAAATTCCGCGTTAACGAGGTGGGAAAATTCGAACGCTGGGGGAAAACTATGGATCGTGTTAAATGAAAATATAAAATCATCTCTTCTATCTACACTCGATGTCAAATATCTACGACGCTTGCTCGCACGCATGGACACGTTATTTGTTTTTTTTTTTTTACACCATCGGAAGGTTTCCTTAAACGAAGACGTACTCTTTTTGCTAGTAGTATGAACAGATCGTCCCATGAACGTCCTATGATACAATGTCATAGTGAATAGACGCGACGGTGTTTACCTCGTAATCTTAACAATTAGGTATGATTATTTACACTAAAAAGGATGTAACGCCATCGAACAGACAGAGACAATTTGTACAGCGTTAATTACCTTGTTCATCCTTTCGAATGATTTCGTCGTACTTTCGTTTTAAAATGAACCACGTGGTTGGCGACGACGGAGTCATCGGGATTCACTCGTGAAATCATGTTCGCTGTTCGAATAGCGTTTCACATGCATCGATTAAATCCACACTTTGCCCTCTCGATCATTCTCCACGTACACACGTTCGTCTGAAAGGTTCGTTTCGCGTTTGTCGCGCGGAAGATGTCGACTTATGGTTTTTTCTTTTTTTCTGCAATTTCGACGAAATAAATCGCGTAGAAGTATTTTTCAATTTTTATGACAATCGAATTTATCGTTAGAAAAATGCCAAGGAAAAAATCAGGAGAAATAGCAACATATGGAAACTATATTTTACGTTAACGATGTGATTAATGTTATTTCGACGAGAATCTATTCACCATGAATACGCGAGCGTGGAAAATAATAATCAGAAATACCCATAAGCGACGTCGTTTCCTGTATAATCATTTCCTGCATCTCTATCTGTCCCCGAAATTGATCTATTCAAATTTAACGCATTCATGCCCTCGAAGCAGTTTAACGAAATTAATAGAACACGGAAATATCATTAGCGGGAATATTTCGCTCTAATCTGAATTAAAACCCGAACAATAAACGGGGCGCGAATACACAGATCGATTTTCCATTAGAGAAATCACATTGCTCACAGGTACCCTTAACGGAAATCCGATTACCTACTGCGTGAAAATTAAATGTCCCTCGATCCATACACACACATACTCTCTCTCTCCTTTTCCCTTTTTTTTTTCTCATTCTACCACAAAGTTCACAACAGCTGAGACAATCAGCGTTCGACTTCATGGCGACAGTTCACGCGATCTCGGCTCTGGAGCCATTTTCACAGGAGAAATCCTCCTCGTTTGCCACGAGTGGCGCAACGAAAGACAAAGGATCTCGAGGTTGCTCGTTAATCTTTTTCGTTCAAACAGCGAGCAACGTTGTCTCGCGCGTTTTACGATCAATTCTAAGCCAACTCTAATTGGACTATCTTACTCACTCGTAAAAAGAAAGAAAAGAAACACATTCTCAGATGGAAGAGAAAAAAAAACCAGACAGAATAACCAGAAAGTACCAAGGAAGGATAGAGAGCAGCTGAAGAAGGTGGACGACTTCGATTGCTCGTTCGAATTTACTCGACAGTTCGAAAATCCAGTCTCTTACGATCAGCTTCGTACACGCTGCGTCTTCTCTGAACGACGAGATCGTGAGCCTCTCAGGTCAGAGGCGCCTTGCCCACGAAGTGTCTGTACTTGTTGCACTCCGGATACCTGCCCTCCTCGGACACGATCGACAGATTCGATTGCTGCCTCTCGCGGTGGCACAGCGTCTTCTTCGCCGGCTTTTTCGTGCCGTTCCCGCAGTCCAGCGCGTAACGCAGCTCGCTCGCCATCTCGGAGCACACGGACTTCTGGAAAGTTCCAGCAAAGCAACGCTGCAACCTCGTCATCGTACCCCAGCTCTCTAAAAGAGCCGCGAACCATCGCGTCAGCTCGAGCGCGATGACGCGTATTCATCGCCGTTGAACGCGAGTTTCATAAGCTTCTCGACACGCTGCAAACCTGCGACCGACACCCGGCTCCACCGAGATAGCAAGTTTTACCGGCGCGGTAACTTTTTATCGACGCGTAATACTCTGTCAGGAAACGACAGCTGAATGCGGGATTTTATTTCTCACGGTTTTTGTTCCGGGGGATGAGGAGAGCGAAAAATGCGTTTCAGGGGATTTTTCTTTTATTCGACAAGTTTGTCGATGTTTGTAGTATTTTTTTTTTTTTTTAGGGAAAGGAAGATAGGATGTTTTGGGAATGTTTGATATTGTTTTTGGTATAAATTGTTAATGTGACACTGTGTTTGAAAGATTGAGACGGTTCGTAGGGTTGGAGATTCTGCAGTAGATTGTGGAGTTTTAGTCAGACACTCTAGCGTGCACGGCTGATGGAGACTTTCAGGTTTGCGCGACGCGTCATAGCATCGAGCTGACTTATTCCGAGATAAACGATTTTATTGAAACGTAAGCATGCGACATAGATGATTATCTTACACAAGCTGCGAAGAAGTGAAAGAAACAGTATAGAGGATTAAGCAAACGTAGATAGGTAAGTATGTCTCTTAGGATCAGTCGTGCGATCTTCAAGAAATAATCTGTAACACTTGTGACAAGTTGTGTTGCAAAAAAGGACAGCTAAGCTGTAAGCAGGCAAAATGAAGTTTCGATAAGAAAATTCAATTTGCGATGGAGGAGAACTTAAGACTGAATAAATCATTGCAATTACACCATACGTGAGTTAGATGAATTTTTCTTATCGTTCTACCGTTTTTATTTCACAGTTAGAAAGTGATGATAATGATGGAAATGGAGACAGATTTTCTTAACAATATTTTATTTCAATTTTACTTCAATTTTCTAGTAAAGCAACTTTTCCCATTCGATCGTATTTGCTCGAAAATATATATATATATACAGTAACGTGTTGAACTTTAGATACACGTAGACTACCATCCACATTTCCCTCGTGTTCGTTTAACACACAATCCCATTTCCAACATCGTGGGTCGCCTCGAACATGAATAATTACAGGCTAGTGGCATAAAAGCGTCTATCCAGAAATAAAGAAAAATCTCATGCTCTACGATCTGTCAAATCGACCAGTGCTGTGACACAACGAGTAGCAGAGACATAGTAGAAAAGTTGCTCACCTCCTGCGTATCCGTGGCGGGAGAGAAAGAGAGGCAAGAAACATTGCGACACAACTAACAATGTCATACTAAACTGTCACACATCGTGCGCGTGTCCTTTCGAACCGTACGTGTGATTCGCATTTCTTTTTTTTTTTTCTTGTTTTTTCTTTTTTGTTTACGTCTACTTTTCGATTGCGACCACTGTCTTCATCTCGTTTTTTCCCCCCTTTTTTTTTCTCTCCCTCTCTTGTCATTTCGTATGATACAAGTTTTATATACGAGCCGAGACATACAGAATCGTCTATCGCATTTACGGAGTTCCTTCGTTTCTCAAGTACAGGGAGTCTGTAGGCTTCTTTCTCGTGGACTTTCTTTCTCGCGTGAACTATTCGCTGGATCTTTTCTGTTTTTCTATTTGAATGTTCGAAGAAACACACAGACTCCACTTTTCGAGTAAGCGATTCACTCCTCGAGCTACACAGTATGTACATACAGTAAAACGTTTCCAACCTGACGCTATACATTAATTAATCTAATCGGTATAAAATTGTGATTGTTCGTGTAAACAGTTCGTTACTCTGCAGCACGTGATTCAGTCGCGATCGCGGCGTGTTCGTTAAGTTACTTTTTTTTTTTTCCTTTCTTAAAAAAAAGAGTGCCACGCTGCGTCTATAATTATTATTTCTTTTTCTTTATTATTTCTTATCTGGTTTTGTAATATTTAACAATCGCACGAGAGAGAAAGAAGACCGTTTCCTTCTCGCTGCGAGGCCTTCAAAGTCGATCGTGAATTAATCTAAAAAATGTTTGATATGAGCAAATGGCAAACGCGTTGACCTTTCCAATTTCAATATCTGCGCCGTTTCACAGGTCCGTCGTTGGAAGAATTGCGGATAAAAAGAAAGCGATTTTTTTCGTTTCTAGCTTTGGAAATCGAACGTTCCCCCTCGGACACTGTTCCATCTTCTTCTTTCTCTTTTCTGTTCTTTTTTTTTTTTTTTTGTTCATTCCCTTCTCTCTCCACTTTTCTCTCTTTCTCTCTGCTTAATGAAATTCCAACGACACCGTACGTTACTCGATAATAATTGATTGGCTAGTGTGCCGCCGATAATGTTCCGGCTAGATTGTCGGTCGAGATTACGGTTTCTCGAAGAGGGAAGAGATAAAAACTGGAAAGGTCGAGGATCGTTGCTCCTTCTTTTGATTATACGTTTCGTTTGAACTTTCTACAGTTTGTGTCTGTCAGTGTTTCACACAGTTTCTCGATCACTGGTGGTGGAGTTCCTCCTTAGGTCCGTCGGGTCAGATACGCTTTTCTCGGGCATAGGAATCTCTTTTCGTTCGTTCTTTCTGTCATTAGTTTTCGTTCGCTTTTAATTTTTGGTTCGCAAGCGGATCCCTACAGGATCGTCCGCTAGTGTAGATCGGTAAAAGCTTCGCAGATCGGTTTCCCCGAGGATTTCTGCTTCTAAAACAGAACACGAAAATGCTCGGGTAAGATTGCGTTAGATTGGTATCGTGATCGATGATGAATCATTGATGGACGCGCGGTTCACGTTTCTTTGTAATTCTTCTCGACAACGAAATATGATCATTCTGAATTAGAGGCTACGACGTTTATGCGGAATTGCTGATAGTGAGATCGGGACGGAAGTTTGGTGAACGGAGAAACGGAGAACGCGACGTACGAGCGTTGATCAATGGAAGACAAAGTTCGAGTCATCGGGAACAGGATTATCGACGCGGTACATGGAAAAGATTCACTTTTACATCTCTTTATTAACGAAAAATCGAAAAATGTTTCGTTTATTAAAATATATAGAAATGTCGATCCGAGTTTAATCTTCTAACGGATCAAATTTGAACGAAACATGAGAATTTCGTAGATTCTAATAAATCGAAAAGGTGTCCATATTTTTGCAACATCCTCTGGAAAAATATCGTCCTTCCAATCGCAAAGTTGCGAAATTGTAAAAGTTTCATTTTGCAACGGAGAAAATATCTACTCGTACCTTCTCGATTAATACAAAATCACGGTTGCACCGATTTCATCCACCAACCGTGCAATTTATATGAGAAAATCGTTGCAAAGGTGGTTTCACGTTAATCGACAAACTGATTCTCTTCTCTCCCGAACAACGAATTTTCCGCAAGTTCGCTGTTGCAACGACGATATCTAGCGAATAGTCTGACTAAAAACAGAAAGACAAAAGAATTGCAAATTAATTCTCCGGAATAAGCGAGGCAGCGCAAAGAAGAAAAGTCTGGTATTTACGACGAGATCGGTGAAAAGAGGCTGAAATCGAGTCGATAGTGTACCGCGATCTTCGGGAGCTGCGCTCGGGGCGCACGGTTAAAACGATTAGCAGTTCCAGATTCGAACAAGTATCACGGCTACTCTCTGTTGCGGTCTGAAGTAGCGCGGTCCGAAGGGGGAACAGCAATACCTGACGTTTGTTGGCTCGTGGAATTGTTTGCTCTCGAGTACGCGAGGTCACCGGCGCAAAGCTGCATATCCGTATTTGTGGACGAGCCCTTCTCAAATACTTGCCTGTTTGCCTACCGCTTGAATGTACGCAAACGGCAGCTCGAATACATATTGTAGACACGCGAGCCCCGGCACGAGCTTTCTGCTCGCGTTTCTCCGGCCTCCCGCGCCTTAATTTCATTGTTGAGCCGCCCGCGCGGAATTTCTCCCTCGCAGAGAAAGGAAATTCTTTTGTTGCACGCGCGGCGCCACACTTTTCCTCCAACTTCGCGAGTATCGATGGATTCCGTTCTCTGTTTCACGGTTTCAGGAGGAAACTCTCGTTCTTTCTTTCGAACGTGTGCTCTTATATTCGTGATCGTCGAAATGGAACGAATTTATTTGCCGTTTTCTTTTGTTCACTTTCGAGGAAATTTCTCATCTACCGATTTTTCAGAAGTTATCGTACTTTCTTAGTTTCGTTCGAGGTGATTCGTTTAACGAGGAAGATCGACGGTGAAATATTTAGCAAGGATATCGTCGCTTTAATTCTGTCCTTTCTCTGCCTTATTTATCACGCTAAATGATATTTTCACTCGGCGACAGCAGAATGCACTCTGATATCGCTCCACTTCTCGATTGTCCTTTCTTCTTAACGATCGCGAGGTAAATACCCATAATCCCGAGGGCGAAGGCTCGAATTTAAATGGTAAATTCGAATCGATCAAACGCGATCCTTTTAAATCTTTTTACCCGCTTCTGTACTCTTCGACAGACTTCCGAACGGTGGAAAAGAAACGGACGGCGAAGTGGGAAGGGAAAAACTTGGAATACCAAATAAGCATCGTAGCCAGGGAACTATGGCGAAGTCAGCGCGAGTAATTACTCTAACCGAGAGAACAAAGACGCATTTACGCCACAGTATCTTTTCACTTATCTCGCGTTCTAAATTCTTTCCCCTGTCGGATAACAGACGAAGGAAAGACGGAAGACGAACGAGGAAAGGAACGCGAATTAGCAATTGCGATTATCAATCAACCGTTTCACTCTCTGGCTAGAACAAAGACTCTCTCTTTTTCTCTCTCTCTCTCTCTCTCTCTCTCTCTCTGTTTATTTCGTTCGCGTTCGTTGGTGATTTTCATCGATCACAGCGAGAAAACGATCAGACCCGAGTGGTTTTGTGGGTGCACCGTGACCATTAAAGAGGAACTCCACCATCGCGCGAACATCAACTGATGTATTCGCGCGGTATGTCGGGGTAGATCGCGTCGGGATCGAGGTGCGTGTTGGACGACGTTACTTCAGGCGCGATCACGCTCTCTTCGACGTGCTATCTGACCTCACTCACCCGTTCCTCAATGGCGACCTTCCGGCTTTTCCAGACGAACTCGCACACCGCGATCACGCAAGCGATCCCCATCCCGCCCATCAGCACCACGAACACCCCGCCGACGTTCGCCAGGCCTAGCTCGTTCGCCGTCGAGCTGCTCTTCGAGGTGTCGTCCTGGTAAAAAGAACAAGGAAAATTCGTTTGAAAATTTTCCGACAGCGATTTTCACGAGTGATTCTTCTCAGGAATTTTTCTTAATTAAATACCAACTGTAGAGTTGATGTGAACGAGAGGATCTTGCGATCTTACGATCACGCGAGAGGCGTTGAATTTAAATTACTATGCCTCAGAATTTGTTATTATTTCATGTGTACACTTTTACGATGGTCTCGCACGAGGTTTGATGTTTGGAATAAAATGATTAAAAGGGTTGTATTTTCTCGGAAGTATAAAACGAAGGTGAATGAAATTTGTAAGAGGAATGAAAAATAGTCGTAGTTACGATACGAAGAATTTCAGCACGTTACAGAATTACAACTATTTCTCATTTCGAAGAAGGTTTCATCTGTCTTGAACGAAGTATTCCACCGAGCACAAACAATTTAACAAAACACAGTAAACGCAACGAAGAACGGCACAATGCGATTCCCCTTGTCCGAGCAAACACAAAGCTTCGCCCTTTTAAATCTCCAGAAAGATGATCTTCAGGCAGAAAGTAGAAAAGATTTCGGCTGAACTGTGTCCGTACAACAACTACGTCCCGAAGCCACAGTTTTTGGCTAACAAATTCTAGCGACGAATAGTTTTGGCTTCTCGCGCTACGTTCTATCTACCCTTTTTTACTCGTATACGTTTTTTCAAAGAACGAAAATTTTTCGTCGTGCTTACTTATTGACTTCGGAAGATGTTTGCATGCTCACCCTGCAAGATCCTCCGCCACGTTTCTCCTTCCACCAGCGTGTCTTGAGCAAGTGCAGCTTCCCCTCTTCCTGCAGCTTGAGTATGGCGCCGCTTATGGCCGTTCTGTACGGCGAATCTGAAGTTCCAAGGTCGTTTTCAGCCACGCTCGTTCTCCATCTGGCTTTTATCGCGCGCGTGAAAGTTTTCGGCAAGTGTCGCCTCCGTTGGGCTGCTCGTGTCCTCGCGAGACCGATCGACCGCGACGATTTGGCGCGATCGTTTTCAACCCGACGTTCCTTCCGCACGCCGAGATGTCCGAAAACGTGGGGGATAAAGGTAACGGCGAAACGTGCGCAAACTTTGGGGATATTTGTCGACGAACCTTTTGGATCGCTGATGAAAATTTGTTAATCCTGGGCAAGAAGGGAGCTGCTAGGTTTGTCGAGGTTTGTTTGTGGAAGCAGGGACGTTTAATTTGTTTTCGCAACGAAGAAAGATCGAAAGTAGAAACTTCACGCGAGCATTTTACAGGGTGTTTCGTTACGATTTTCTTTATCTTCACGATTTGTAAAATGGATTTCATTGAAGTACGGTTTCAATTGTCAGCGAAGGTAAACTTTATTTCTCTGTCCAGCATGTTCACTAAAGAATTCATTCGAAGCGATTCTAGCGACAAAGGAAAATTCGAAGTCTCGTCTGAAAGCAATCTCTAAAACTGACTACAAAGAGTGTTTCATGACACTGGTCCGGACATTTGTTTTATCAAATCTCGTATGCAATTTTTATCTATCCTTTCGCGACAGATGTGTCCGTAACTAATAGGAACATACGTTTTGACACTTTGAAATTTATCTCACCCCTTAATACACTCGTAAGCTTCGTCTAAGCATCCCACAGAATTTCAACCTCATTTTCGAAGGACCCGAGTAAAACGATCTCCGTCGAACGATCTCGATCGATCGATCGTTTCCCCGCGCCGAGCGGAATATTTACCATAAATTGGTCAAAATTTCCGTGGAACGAACGCGAGAGCCCGTGTCCTTCTAATTCCCCCATAAATCCTACCCGACGAACGTGAAAAATTATCTTTCCGATTCGACGCCGTTTACCGTGGGACCATAAATCAAGGATGTTCCCGTCGATCGGCCGGAATAGCTCTCTGGCTCGCGCGTCTCTATCTCGTCGTGGGCTATTCGACCGTGTTTAATCGGCTAACACTCGAATCGAGAACCGACACGCGGAGTTTGTACCGTATCGCGTGACGACTGGTGGCCCTGGTGTTGGCCAGAAATTGCACTTACTTGGCGGCATCGCTATGCCGTATCCTTTCGAGTCCAAGAGGCCGCCGACTTGGGTGAGATCGCAGTTCCTCTCGATTACGTATTCGATAGAAGTGGATTCCATTAGGAACGCGTAGCTGCCTTTACCCTTGATCACCCGTTCCACGCCCTCGACGTTGCTCGTTGTAAATACGGTCGGCTTTGCTGAATCCATGAAGGACCACATGCGCTGGTACGTCGAGAAATTGGAATCCTAGATCAGGCCAGGAATTTCATGGTCGAGCACGCGTGCCATTAAACGATGGAACGTCGATCGAAATTGGTTAATCTTCAAGGAGGCCTATTACGCCCGTCACCACCCGTCTGCGGTTCCATGGAAATCATGGAGAACAACCCCCCCACTGTAACCACGATCGATACGTTTTGATGCGTGGCGGTTTCATCTTTGGTCGGCGGGAAACTTTGCTTCGCTGTTATCCTCGCTTGAAGATTAACCATCCACGACGTGCAGCGGTTTCCTTGAAATTTCCAGAGCTTGAGATGTTTGTGTAAGGATTTATCGAAAAATTCCAAGTGTATTCTGTGAATAGTTGTGAATTACAACCCTTTTTTGCAGATGGCCAAAATTGATAAATGCAATTTATCAATCTGAAAATTATCAATTTATAGGGTGGAATTTTTATTTTTAACATGGATAACGAAGAATGCATCGATAAAAGTGGCGATTAATTTTTTAAGGAGAATTTTAAGTAAGCGAAGTATAGATAATCGATATATTCGAATAAAGAGGAATTTAACCTACAGCTGAAAAATGCAGACAAATGATTTCATAGATTCACGTATCGCGCTAAACGCAAATAATTTTCACTTTAGCCGATTGAAATTGGTCGCGGAAGCAACTTGGGCGAACCACGGGTTGCTCATCGTTGAATTAAAATATTCGAAAAACACATCTCTAGAGACAGGGAAGCTTCCGTTCGTTCCCCTCTTCTTGTGTAATCTGTCGTAATAAAGTTTCATAATACCGAAATTAAACGAGAATTAGCGTTAAGTAATGGCTGCGATGTTTTCTCAAGCAACACGCGCTTTCTCCCGCTTTCCTCCTCGTTTCTTCCCCAGCTACACTCCCTGTAGAATTCCCTCCGATACAATTTCTGCGTGTTATTTGACATATAGCACACGATTCGTCGATGAAGGAAAATAACGCAATAGATCGTTGCACGTGAAATGGCGAATTCATAAATGGAACTTTAAACCACAATAACGTAATCAAGTGTAATTTTTATTAATCAAAAAAGGATTCAGGAGATTCGACAAATTTCATAATTCTTCCCTCGTTGTTGAATTCCTTTTTGCTAAAAAATGATCTAAATGCTCAAATTAGCGTTATGTTATCTATTCACTAACTGCTCCTACCTCGAATGCTGTATTAATATTTTCTGATACTTTCTCGTGTTTTAATTCCTAAAAAAAAAATCACTCGAATTTGAGTAAAATCCACGTTTCACCGTAACTTTTCTCACTTCAAACTCCGTCTCGATCTGAAACCTCTTGAAAGGAGCAAGTCTCGCGTTTAAAACAGCGTACTCCAGACTCCGCCTTTTCACGAAACAATCGACGCGATTCTATCGCGAACGCCGCATATTTGGTATTCAAGGACCACGGGAGGAAATCTCGACGAAATGATTACGTGGTCACGTGTATAGCGTTGGTAAGATATTCATGCGATCTTACCCTAAAAAAGGCCGCGGTGCTCCCTCCTTTGAGAGCGCCGTATTTGATTTTCGTCTGCTTGGCGAGATCCTCCGCGCTCTCGATCGGCGAATCCATCCTCTCGACGGTGAGGAACGCGGCCAAGTTGGCAGTGTACGAAGAGATCATGATCAAAGTGAAGAACCACCACATGCCCGCCACTATGCGAGTTGACACGGCCCTGGGAAAGAAGAATTCGGCCGGTGCAGTCGGAATTTCCTGGATGCTATTCGAACGCGCGTCGTCTCCTCTCCCGTATGAATTTAAAGTAAGCGCCCGCGCTTCGTATTTGTTGAAAGATCGAATCTCGATATCTTGGAACGTACGCCGTCGCGTTTGAAGTATCGCTACGAAGTTCTCGATTGTAGAGTATATAGGCTTATGCACGTAAGTCTAATCTCTTTTTTTTTCTATTTCTGCTTCGTAATTGTATTTCAAACAGCATCGTATCACGATACATATACATACACTGCCGCTCATGGAAGTATGGACACTTCGCCAAAGGAGGATTTTTTGACGAAAATTTCATTTTAAAAGTCCTTAATTCGTTTTTGTTGCATTATTTATGCATAATTCGTTAATTTTGATGTTTATCAAGGAAAGAACTGACCAAAAATAAAATTATTTTGTATTAAGCAATTCCTGCATTTATCCTTTCTTTTAATTCCCAAGTGTCCATACTTCCATGAGCGGTAGTGTATGTACATGTACAAAGTTATCAGTATTGAGCTTAAAACTACGTTAAACCAATATATCTACATGGTCTAAATGCGTCAAAGGAATTAGACACACCAAGCTTCTACGTGAAACAATTTCATGCATCTCACACAATCTCTTTGTCCAATCTACTACGCATAACAGTGAACTAAATGCCAATCTGAATAAAATAGAAACTACGATAACCGTTCGAGGATAGGGGCCGTATCGTAGGAAGTCTCGGATAACGAAAATGATGAATTCTCTCATCCGACGAATGTTTGGAAAGTGTTTGGATGTTCCGCGCGGTTAAAAAGCTGTTGCTGCTTCCCATAAAAAAAAAAAAAATTTACTCTGTTCGTCAATACCAGAACTCGTATCGAACTGTCGCGTCGCTTTATTCACTCGTCTGATAAATCCACGCGAATTCCACGTATGATTCTCGAACGTGTTAAACGTTTTCAACGGAGAAAACGGAATCGTCGATTCGCGACGTCTGAACTGTTATACGGTGGCGGTGGCGGCTTCACCACCGTGAAGTTTCAACCCAACTTATCGGACCTTTCACGGTGCATCGTTTCCCGGTTACTTCGCGGTATCAGCTTCTTACGGGGCACTCTGGGGAGCAGCAACAACTTCCATTAAACGAAACGTCTTTGTCGTCTTTGTTGTCGTCCGTGTCGCTGTCGACGAGACAGAGCGGTAGCGCTAGCGATAGCAAAGCACGTCGGCAAGTTTCAACACGCGAACGTGATCGGTTGCAGCAAGCCTACGATATAGCATATCCAGGCTATCGTTACATAACACTGGGTAGCACCTACGGCCCCGAATCTCGTTCTCTATATTCCCCTTTCCCCGCCCCATCCCTCTCTCTCAGCCCTTTTGCTAAACTTCTATCACCTTGTGTACCCAGGTGAATCGTTCGCGACTATAGTTAACTAGTTGAAACGCTCGAGAATCTCTATCTCTATCTAGCTTTCTCTCTCTCTCTCTCTCTCTTTATCTGGTTCTCTGTGTTGTTGCTTCGGAGAGGTAATTCACGAGACGAATCGAACGGAAATGATCTGACGCGTATAGAGATACGTACACACACACAGAGAGAGAGAAACGTGTGTAGAGAGGATGCTATATCGTTTATTATTACGTTGCTCTTGGCTGGCTGTGTTTTCTTCGTTTCACTTACTTCGGCGCTATATCAGAGCCTTGCTGCATGAGCGAGCCTATGGTGAACCAGAGCGAGTTCATCAGGGTGAACTCGTTCTCGAGGACCTCGGACTGTCCGTTGCACGGATGGGGATTCTCCCACTCGTAGGGGCTGAACCTGCAGACACGTGAAAGGAGAAGGGAGAGGATTAGACCTCAGAGTCGCAGAACGCGCGCGACACCACGGAGACGATCGATGCATGTCACCCCCGGGGAGGCCTCCGATTCGTCCGATTCCACCGGTTCGATTTGTCCTTCTGATCGGCTCTCCCTCTATATATAGGTACCAAACCGGCCAACTTTACCGCTCGAAATGGTTCCTCTGTTTTTTTAGAATTACAAGGGAACGGTTCCTGCATGGAAGTTGCGCGGCTTTGCGGAGGATTCGGGGAGATTTAGGTTGAGACGTTAAGGAGACATTAAGGTCACCGCCGGATTTTTTTCTTTCTTTCGCTCTCTTTTTCTTCCGGGGATTTTGCATCCTTCTTTTCTTCGTTTTTTCTTGTTGCTGCTTGATAGCAGTTTTTAAGGGGTGCAGCGGGCTTTTTCTGGGGAAAATATCGAGGGGGCTTCACGCGAAATTAAACCGTGTTGTACGTTCTTTGTTTGACGCGTGCTGCAATCTTTTTTCTAAATGGAACTGTACATATTTTTTTTCTGTAAACTGATCGAAGACTAAATAAATCACCATCTTAACGACTTACTTTCATTCAGAGTATCAGAATATTGTCGAATATTGTTAAAAAATCGCTACCAGGTATTAGTATTGTAAAATTAAAGTTTTAAGGCCCTTCCGTGTGGCTTTCATTTGTAATTCTAAAAGTAGAGGAATAAGAATACTTTTTCATCGACTACATTATTCGATTTTTATCGCTGATCTTATCGGTTATTGCGGTACTGTGAAACAACGTTATCAGTAATTAGTAGACAGTGTTTTTTAAGAACTCATGTAGAAATTGTCGCATACGTGATGTTTCTTTTAGGTCCGAAACGTATCTACGACTCTGAGAATCGTACGTCCGCTCGTTAATCGATATTCACTTAAGTCTTGTAAATACTAGACACGTTAAGGAGAGATCGCCAGGCAAACCTTAATCCCCGTCCCTTTTTTTATACCTTCCCCACTAAAATAAGTGCATCAGAATCAGTTTTACTACCGAAGAGCCATAAAAATCTTTCCGCGACACAATAAAATACTTTGAGGAAAACGAATTAAATTTTTATATCTTCACCGGAAGCTTTTCGTTCAACTCCCGCTTTCTTCCTCCCTCAAAGGAACATTTATCTTCATTTTGATTTCTCCATAAAAATCTTTCGATCACCTCGGCTTACATATTCATCCTACTTCACAATTCCAAATATTTCCAAACTAAATCTCTCCAACGATAAATTGAAAATATTTGCTCAACGATCTCCCCTTAAAGAAAAAGAACACTCCTTCTTCGTTCCGCGACGCGTTCAGCTCGCGATACTCGGGAACTGGTCTAAATCGCGACAGCGAGAGTAACCCGAACGAAACAGACTGTGAACGCTGTGACAGGTCCGTTCCGCTAAATAATTCGTCCCTACTTGGTCCGCCTAAACGAGCACGTTTGTTTCTGGGGCTGTGAGTTCGTGGGACGCGGCGAACAAGTAAATGGTAACGAAAAGTGGATCGTAGTTGGTTACGTAGTCGTCGGTTTTCGATTAACATGCGTTCAGTCGACGATACGCCCGTCCAAATGACGGGAGAGAGAGAAGAGAACAAACGGTGGTTTTAGATCGGATACACAACGAAACCAGGTATGCAGAAGGTAACGGCAGTGAACGAACGAAACCAATGGAGAGGGAGAAAACAATCAACGAAAACAGAAGAGAAAGTAAAACGAGTTAAATAGACAAAAAGGGAAAAAACGTAAGAAGAAACCAAGAAAAAAAAAAAGGGAACACAGGGACGTAAGAAAAAAAAAAGAAGAAGAAGAAGAACAGAATAACGACGTTCAAGCGACCGTGATGCCAATCTAACGGCTTACTTGGGCAGAATGTCACAGCCCTGCCGCATTAAGGATCCGATGGTGAACCACATGCAGTTGAGCAGCTTGAAGCGATTCTCCAGATGGTCCGGGTTTTTGTTGCACGGATGAGGATTGTACCACTCGTACGGGGTGAATCTAAACTGATCAACTCTAGACAACGTCTGTTTCCTTTTTCTTTATTTGTTTGTTTGTTTTTTTTTTTTCAGCTGAACGCATCTGTCTTCCACCGGATCGTTCGCCATTTACGTATGAAGATTAGCCGCGTGGCGAGTAGGGAAAAAGAGGTCGAACGGAATGCGACAAGTTAGCTTATTCCGTCCGTTCCTTCCTTCTATCCGATCTTATTCCCCTTTTGTTCGCGTAACCGGACTCGGTCGTATTCGACTCGTATCCGTGAAATTAGAATTGCCGCCCTTTTTAAGCGCGAACACCGCGGAATTAAACGGACTTGTATCGGAAGGATCGTCTAGGAAGAGAAACGTGCCGTAGAAATTCTATTCCCGCTTTGTAAATTTCTCCTCGTAGATAGCGGAAGTTGCGCGTGTATTTAAATATCCGAAGCGATTGAAAGAAGAGGAGCTTGTATCGCGAATAATGATCAATTTAATCCGCGGTTTTAATCGGTATTGTTCCCGTATCCGGAGAATCACGCGGGGGAAAATGTGTCGTGTTCCGTTGAGTGACGGAAGTCTGATCGAGCGGAGCGAAGTATGTTAGGCGAGGGGATTCGTGTTCCCATCGGATCGTTCCGATACGAAATTTCACCGGTGCCGGTACAATATTTTTATCGGAGCTTGGCAAAATGGATTCACTTGCCTGGCGAGTATGAAGAGAAGCACAGAGACGCCCAGATAAGCTGTCGCCATATAAATCCAAACGTCGAGGCTGAGCGGGCTGAGGAACGAGAACAGATTCGGCGGCTGCTTTATAGGCTTACGATACAGTATGCTGATCCCTGAAAATTTCAGATCGCACGTGGTAAATCCGTCGTAAAATTCAGGAATTAGAGTTTTATTTTTAGTGGACGCAACATGAGTACGATAAAATGATTGAAATAATTGGTGATCCAATAAAAAAGAAAATTGTCTACTCCGTGTTTCGCAAGAATTAAACTAAATTGCTCAAGCTACGTTTGATCGTTTAGTGAACTGTTTTAATTTGATATAATTGAAATTTAATAAACTTTAGATAATGTTCAAATTTAATAAACTGACAGTCAACTTTACACTTTTATTATTTTATTGTCGATGCAAGAAAGACGTTACAATAATAATAGTAATAGTATTGATAATAAACGTGAGAGTGTTTAAAAAAAATATAGGTTAGAATAATTTTGAAAATATCAATCATGCTTCGTAGCTTCCCGAAGGTAACACGACGCCCAAGCTAAATATTTGATACGACTCCGGCTGAATCTCGTTTTACCGAGCAAAACCAAAGTAGCGCCTTTGAGGAAGAATAAAAATAATAATCCGCGAATTCGCTTGCAGATTGATCAATTCCCATCCCGATCATCGTGATTCAAATTTTCCGCCGCTTCTATGCGAGAAATCTCACGTGGATCTTCCCCCGGGGATTCGTTGAACCGCGAGGTTATCAAAAATCGCGGAACCACGCAGCCGAGAGATCTCTCGCATATAGGTTTTAGCGGTCGTTAAATCAATCCCCCGCGATTGGCGAAGGTAGAGAGCGTAGTCGTTGATCAAACACAGTCGGGGCTCACCTAGGTTCATGAAAGGCATGGTGAAGTCGACCGCTTGCTCTCGATCGTACGTGATAGTGAGATCGGCGATCGCTAGGTCTGCCTTCTGATCGAGCAGTTCTTTCATCATACCGTCCCACTCTTTCGTTTTCTTGTTGTAAGAGCCGTACCGTCCGTCCGGCACCAGACGGAACGTGTAATTGAAGCCGAGGATCCTTGATATCTCGAAAATCAAGTCGACGCTGTAACCCTCGAACTGTGCGTTTCCGGTGAGCTTCTCGCTCGAGTCCTTCCTCATGCAGTACGGTGCGCTCTACGAGGTAATGACCTCATGTCACTAATCGGATACGCAATTCTACGAATTCCTCTATGTATCACGTGGTAACTAGATCTTCGTGTGTGAAAGAAGCATACCGCGGTCGTTGAATTAGCGAAGGAGATTAGTAAGGAGATGAATACGAGAAGTGTGGGTACATGTGTCTTGACACATTTGCTGTCCACTGATTTACACGTGACTCGAGAGCGTTCGAACTCGAAATATGTGTATTTGTTTTTTATACAGAAAAGGAATATGTTTGAATTATTATGAAACTCGTTAAATTAATAGTGCAAAATGTAGTGCAAAATAATTTTTAATTTTTTTGGACGATTAAATTAAGCTAACTTTGTACTCGTACTCTTCAAACAACGAACGCGTAACTTTGTTTCAGTTTTCACATTAATTAGGGTTTAAAGAAATGTATTAATTTCGGACTAAAATATGCTCAGGAAAGAATCTTACACAGAGTGTAACATAATTGAAAACTCTGAAAGTGAGAACTCCGAAATTATAGACAATTCCCTACAAGACGCGTTACGAACATATTCAAATAAATTTGTGAATGCGAATATAAATAAATGTGTGATCATAGGAGGCAATGAAATGCAACGAAAGCTGACTCTACGAAATTTCACATTCGCCCAGGCTTCGTAACTCGACGAACATGATAATTCTGTACTCGCACTTGAGCTATTTTCACGCTGCAATGCCGGTTAATTAACGCAGTCGTGATTTTCGGCGATCGCGAATTCAATACGCATATTCACGTGCTCGCAAATGAAAGGATTGCGTTCTCATGTCAACGGGATCTTTTTCTTTCTTTCTTCGATCGAAGAGAAAGAACCGACGATACACTGCCCAGTTGAGAGAATGGAAAAAATTGCGGAGTTATTTGGGGATTGCGAATACGTGCCGGTTGAAAGGCCCACGAGTTTAGAATTCCGCGTGTCGCTTGTGAAATGACGCGTTTACGCGAAATGTGGTAACTAAATGCCGGCACTGACGAGGAATTTCGGAGGAGGCTCGCGGAAATTGATGTGGGGAACGTGCGTGGCCGATTTTCGGAAAAACTCGGTCAGCAGCTCGTGATACGGAAACACGTAATCGCGATTAAAAACGACGAAGGTAGAGTTAGTACGCTATACTTAAAGCTCGAGGTATCTCGTGTTTACCAATGATCACCTTAATTGAAAATTTTAATTAAGTTTCATGTTTGACGTGCGACTTTATTTCTTAAATCAAAATATGCTGATAAGAGGCGACATTGAAATTCATAAAAATCCTTTTATATATTTAAAAAAAAATAACGTTTTGAACTACAAATTTTTTAAGAGTTACACAGAAACATTTATTACACGAATTAACTCAGGCAAATACACGTAGCAATTTTGAAAAATTACAAATTCGTCGATATAGTTAAATAAAGTTTTCATACCGCGTAGAAGTCTGAACAAAATTTGCAAAATGCAGACAAAACTCTTCTTCGTACACGAAGTACAATACTTGATAAAAAAAAGCTACAAAAAAGGTGAACTAGTAACTGTAGAACTACGCAGTGGTAACGAAAGGGTTAAATTTCTTATCGTTCCGTCTACCTTTAAAATTCTCCCGCGTACACCGCCGATTAATTCGCGAAAACTCTCGAAACGTGGACGAAAAATCGCGACCCCGTCGGACTGTGCAATTTGCCAGACCATCTAATGCCAGACTTAAAGAGAGCGCCGGAAACTCGGGCGCGACTTTGGAGTGCGCGGCGAATTAACATGGCTCGTTATTCAAGCACGTCCGCGGGAAATCCGATTAATATCAGCCGTAAATACAGAACGCTTAGACGTTTAAAGAGGCCGGGCGTTAGATTGTTTAAGTTTGCAAGCGGCGTCGCACCGGTCTCCTTGGTCCTCGGCGACGAGCACCCTTATCTTCGTGGCTGCGCACCGCGAAACTCGACGTCCTCGTCCGCCAGACACTTCTCCCCCGGCTGAACTTTCCAGCCAGTTAATACATTCGCGAGCAGTGCATTACTTGTCGCCGCAATTAGCGCGAGAATAAGTAACGCGGCCGGTCGGCCTGCGCCGCGAGGGCTTCAATTAAATCGCGTATCCCCGGCCGACTTTCTTCTTCTCCGCAGGAACGGACAAAGAGGAAGAGAGAGTAGAGAAAGTAACCGGAGGGGAGAGGAGGAGCAGGAGAAAAAGGAAAAAAGCTAACGAGCTGGCGAGAGGACGGCGAAGGAAAAAGGAAAAGGAAGTTTCTCGCTTCCGCGTGGCGTTCGTTCAACTCCGTTTCTGTTTCCTTTTCATTCCGGAAAAACAAACAGTCGGGATTTTAACGATACACGAATGATTTACGTGGCCGCCACGGTGAAGCAGCTTAGACGAGAGGAGAAGTTTTTTCAAATCTAGAGTGCAGCCAGATTTGAGAAAATCACTTTAGTTGATTGAAACGAGCCTGAAATGTCGGTGTTTTGCGTACTTTGAAAAGTGGACCTCAGGTTTTTCAGGGTGTATCGTGTGTGTGGGTGATGCTTAGATACGTGTGTACGTTAATTTCTGTTCATTTAAGGATTAATGTAAACGTTTCTGCTTGCACATGAGGTTTGAAGGGTGCGGTACAGTGACTGAGAAAATGAATCTGTACGTAATATAGTCTCTCTCCCGTTTGTGAATGGATAACTAAATTAGCTATGAATTTAAAATTCCCAGTTTAATGAGAAGAGCACGGTTGCTTGGCTCTCTTGATTTTCCCGGTTTTATAACGGCGGCGAAACATTTTACAGAAATTTTCCTGGTATCGTAAAGCTCGTATTCTTTATATTATAATCTGCACAGCTCGCACGTTTGTCACATTTATTACACACGTGTGGTTTAAGTGTTTCGTAGAATTGGAATTTATCGCGCTTAATTTACAGAGAAATTTAAAGCAACGCGAGTATTCTTCGCAATCACTCACCAATATGGTCGTCACGATGAAAGTTTTGTTCTGAAGATTTTCCACGATCTGAGTGTACTCCTCTTTGTAACTTCTCGTGAAATTTATGCCTTTCGTGCTGTTCCATGTCCCGATCTTCTTCAATCCCTCCTTGTTATTCAGTTCGATGATATCCAGAATGAAGTCCGAACGGAATCCTTGGTGATCGAACTTGATAATTCCTGTCAATCCAGTCATTTCGACCTGAGAACAGTAATTACATACTTTTTATGATTTTTTATCGTCCAAATGTTGTTAATTTTTGATATCCTTTGTAAAATCGAGAGATTAAAATATAAGGATTATGCTGATCTTCCAAAAAAGTCTTCTTTTACAATTTTAAACGAATACACGCGAATAACGCGTGTAAGTAGAATAAGACACTGGTCAGACATCCGAGATATCTGAATTTCTTTCGAGGATCTTATTTATATTGTCAGTGGTTAATTTTACATATTCATTGCATATTTTCCACTGTTTATTCCCATTTATATTCTGTCAATATTGCAAAATGAATTTAATTAACATTCTACCAAGCTCAAGAACCAATTACATGTCACCATTCGCCATCTAATTAATGCAAAATAGTGGTCCAAGAACTTGCTTTCTAATTCACCAAAATCAATCTACCACCTTTAAAAAAACAAGGAATTCTTAATAAAGTTCAAGAAGAAGCAATCTTTCGAATAAAAAAAAAAAACAAACATCCAATTACAATATCCTCGCAGCTTACGCTTCGCCTCTTTGAGGCCTTTGCATTCTTCATACAAGAGACGGACAGGCGGTGTTCAATATTTACAATCGAGAGCAATTCGAAACGTTAAAGTAGGCAGCTGGTGGCTGATCGCTTTCGAAGCGCGTCGAGCACGGGTGCAATATGAACTGCATGTTTGCGGAAGCGGGCTGCTCGATGTAATTAAACACGAAATTCTCGGTGACTAGTTCTAATCAACTGGTCACGGGCGTGTCGCATGATTAAACCTGGACCTCGAAATCAGCGTTTCGAACGATCTGTGCCTTTCGGTCTCCATTTTTTCTTTCTCTCTCTCTCTCTCTCTCCATCTCCTCGATTTGTTCGATCCGCTTGAATCGGGGAAATTTCGCAGCAGTCGAGCGGAAAAACATCCGGTTTTGTCCCACGAATCCGGCTGGAATCGCGTCGCGTAACCGAGCGTTGATCGCTTCGCGACAAGGGATCGCGATAAATCCTGTGTGTCGCGTCAAACAGCCGTAGGAAAATTGGCGAGCGCGACCATTACCTGCATAATTACTGGGTCAGCTTTAATACGAATTTTCGACAGCAAATTTCTCCCGTCCGGTGGAGACCTCGGTTGTTCTACGTTACGTGTCGCGTAATTAGTCGAATTGAAGAGCGACATCGCGATAAGAAAAGTAGGTATGTACCTACTTGCCGAGAAATGATTTTTCTATTGGAGCAAATGTTACAATCCAGTTTACGCGTAACGAGATCGCGATTGTTCGAAATTCATCGGCCTCGTTCTGTCGGATCTCGTGTTTGATCAATACACAGTAATACTGGCGGGGCATCGTTAGCGGAAGCAAATATTAAAAAAAAAAAAGAAGAGGTAAAAAAGAGAATCGAAATAGCCAGGGATGAAAAATAATTATCGGAGCCATGCGCGCGACTCGTTATTGCCTAGCCTGATTTTTGACATAACCGAGCGCGTTTATGTTTGCCTTTTCAGTGCGGTACCAGTGTTTCGGTGTACTTCATTCACGCTCCGTTGTTTGAACGTTGTTTATTCCACATTTCCCAGAACTAATGACGCGTCTATTTATTCGCGTATTACCCTCCTTCGAAGCCTCGTATAAAATCAATTCATCTCGTATGCAAATTGTTCGCACGAGATAGAGCAACAGGAAAAAATTGGATCGTTATACAATTGGATGTTCTTTTTGTTTTTCTGCGTTACAATGAACGAAAATAT